CCCCCCCCCTCCCCCCGCCCTCTCTCTCATCCTATGCATTCGCATGGACAGCCTCTGTGCGGGACATTTTGTTCAACCTCTCGCCCAACTGCGGGCTTAACTCCCGGCCGACGGTGCAACAGCTAGCCCAGAGCCTGATGGACTCGCACCCGGCCTCCGGCGGTGCTGCCGGCACCGGCCACAGCCTGATCGACTCGCCGCCCGACTCACCGGTTCGCGCGTCGCTCCGGCTCTTCAGTTCAGACAGCGACACGTCCGATGGGTCTTCCTTCCCGTTTGGCTCATCCTCCGAGGGGTTTTCCTCGTCGAGCGACGCGTCGGATTGCTCGCCCTCGCCGGGCCCGGGTCGGGGTGCCCCGCTGGCCGGCCTAGCGCCGGTCATCCCCTCGGCTGGCCGGCTGCCCGAGGACCTCCGCGACTTGGTGCTGGTGCCGGATGCGGAGATCCAGGCGCAGGCGCAAGCGCAGGAGCAGCAGCAGGAGCAGCAGCAGCCGGAAGGGCCTCCCCCGGCTGCGGGCCCCGGTCCACACTCGCCGTCGCTCGTGACCAAGCTTTTTACCGAGGAGCTCCCTCTGTCGCCGAAGCACCATGCCCCAAGCACTGTCCAGTCGCATAAGGACCTCGCAGGCGAGGCGATCCTGGCCTCATCAGCTGACAGTGGTGGCGGCCGGATCGCTGCCAGCGCCGCCGGGGCCAGCCGCTCCCCGCTCGGCCTCGAGTCGTCGGCCTCTCCCTCGACCGAGGCTCTGACAGACGCCGACTCCAAGTCACATCTGCTGGCCTAGCGCAGGCCACCGTCCGGACGCCCGGTCACCCCCCCCCCCCCCCCCCGCCCACCCCTCTTCAAGAAGGAGGAGGGGATGTAAATACACCTGTCACCACCACCACCGACTGCGCCGTTGTTGGCAATGTGCCAGCGCCAAACAAAAAAGCCACACACGGAATGGGTGGGTGGATGACGAGAAAAGGGCATCCAGTGAGGCATGGTAGGGAGGAAAATAAAACACCATCGGGAGGGGCAAAAGGGCCAAAGCAGATGTCTAATATCACTGGTGTGGGAGTCCGGCCGGATGCACGCGCGCGCGCACACACACACACA